TGGGGACCCCACCCAGCCCCCCTACTTGCTTCCTCAGCTTCCTGATCATTTCCCCAGCTACTCCTCCCTTCCCCCAACTCCCCGATTGTTTCCCCAGCTTCTGCCTCCTTCCCCCAGGGATGCTTGGTGGTCCAGCTCCTTGGTGCTGGCAGCAGTGGCTGCAGCCACAGCAACAGCAGCAGTGGTAGCGGGGTTGGTGGTGATGGGCCAGGCAGCCATTTGCTGTGGCAGAGGTTGTGCAAGCAGCAGTAGGCCAAGTGGCTGCAAGATGAGTGGGGCTATATCGCTGCAGCCCTCACTCACCTGGTACTGCTGAGGACCACGTCCACTGGGGCTTCAGGGTCCCAGATTCTGCCACAGGCCCTGCCCACTGCTATCCACGCTCCCAAAGTCCATGCCAACCAGTAGCCAAATGGAGTAGCATCGTGAGCTATGTTTGACATCTCTGGTCTAGACATATGCAAGCTAGCCTACAACTAGCCATTTTGGTTACTGCCAGCTGTGCGGTTACACTAATCTTGATTTCAGTTTAGGCTGCAAGGCCCACCTGAGAAGCTGCATAAATACATAGGCAGTTAGTCTGTGCTAAGCTCTGTCCTGCTACAGCTAAACTGATCCCAGGCAGCTAGTTTTACTTCCACATGCCTGTATGAGCTGCAGGAGTTTCCGTGTGGTCATAGTAGCTGGTTATCTCAGATTCCACTCTGAGATATATACCTTTATGCTGTGAGTATGTGTTGTGAATTGTGGAATAAGCAGGCTATTGTGATTTAGAGAACTGGATGGTAATTATCCAGATGGACACTGATGAGTCAATGAAGGCACTGATTAATTTCCTTGTAGGTAAACAAATAGCCTGTAATTTCCATGACACTGCACTGTCCTGGTGTCCTTTTCCTTGTGTCTTCAGTGTCTGTCTGGGTGGAAGGTAGGGCCAGGGTAGCACCTTAGAAACTGCTGACTTGTTTCCAACTATGCCATCCTGCATGTGCTATCTGTAACATCTTCTCTTAGGCTTTGTGATCTTCATTCCTTTCCTAAACAGAACCAGGATCCCATAAATCCCATCTAAGCTTTCTCCACTCATTAATTTGTCTTGCTGTTGACAATATAATTATTTTTACCCTGTCACTCAAGCTTGTAGCAGTGTGTGTGTGTGTGTTGGGGGGGGGGTGTCAGTCACTTTTGCTCTCCCTTGTCCCCTGCCCCATATATCACCACCACCACCACCAATTCAATACTGTTATTGTTTCATTGTTATTTTTGTTATTTAGTGTTATAGGCCCAGGTTCTAGGCTGCCTCCAGTGTCTTCATCCATTCCCATCTGTTGTATGCCTTCATTCTCCAGGCATCCACATTTAATTTCTGTAGGTCTGACATTACATTATCTAGCCATATTTGTCTTGTTTGTCACTTGTGGTCTGTTTTTTTTACCTCATTTGTTAATTGGGTATACAGAGCTTCTATATTGTTCATGTTTTTCAGAGCATTTATGAGAGCTATATCGTCGGCGTATATGAGGACTTTATGTTCTCTATTCAGTTGAACTCCTTCCTCATGTTATTTGTGCCTCTCATTACCTTTTCTAATACCAAGTTGAATGGATCAAAGGCAAACTGTCTCCCTGTCTCAGTCTGGTTCTGATTGGAAAGGGACCTGATTTTCTTCCATAAGCACTAATTCTGTTTCTTGATTCATGCACGCAAACTTTAATAAATTCAGTTAGCCCCATACATCCATGCAGCATTCAAAGCTGCTCTTTCTTCATTCCTAACAATTCAAAGGTTGATCTCTCTCCTCCATTCACAACATAACACTGACACCACCGATATCTTCACTGTTGCACCTTGCTGCTCTCTGATCACCCTGATGCCTGCAGCCCATACAAGGACAGCAATAAGGATGGTTTTTTTATGTGGCATTCTGACCATGACTCCTGCCTATTATGCTTTGAATCTTTCCACACAAATTTAAGTTTCTTATCCCTGCTTTCAGTCCCAAATGACTCTTTTCATTATTTGCTTGTCCCTTTTGCATCATATCATCCCACTGTCTCTGTTTTGCCACTAATGCTGGCATCAATATTCTGTTTCACAGTACCATCATATATTTGTCTACTTCTCTAGCAAACCATTCCACGCTCTGTCTGAACTGGTCCATAAGTAGGCTTGGCAGAATTTGATTTTTTATTTTTTTAATAATTTTGATGGCTAAAATCAATGTTTACTTTTAGGCATTTATTTCAATTTTTTAGCAATTTAAATTTTCAGGATTGTGCAGAATTAGGGCAGTGGGGGGCACACATACAAACACATGCATGCACACATGCACATGCACAAACACATGCATGCACACAGACATATCCTCTCACTTCCCAGCAAGGAAATCTCTGGCTGCTGCAGTGGCATCTGCTCTCTGTAGCCAGCAGCTCCCTCTGCCTGCTGGCTCCCACCTGAGATTAAGGGAGGGCCTGGCTTGCTGGCTAGCACCCTGCAGGCACTGAGCTGGATACACACACATACACACACATGAGCTCACTTGGGCACTGTGGCAGCAGCCTCTTCTTATGTCCCCTTTTTACACTGGCTGCAGACCCCAAGAAAAAAAAAAACTTACCTGGCCAGGTCTGGGAACACCACAACACCTGGCATGCTGAGGTAAGCCACCAGGAGGTGTGGAACTTGTCCAGTGAAGACTGAGCAAGTGACACTGCTTTAGTGCTCTGAGGGAACTCGCCCAGCAGGGGCTGGGGAAGTCAAGCTGCTGGGGATGCCAGGGAGACTATGACCCCAAGTGAGGAGCCAATCCAACCTACCACTCAGATAAATGAAGTTGGATGGTGGGTTGCTTATGGGTGGCCCATAGGCTGGGGAGGTGGGGACACTGGGAGAAGGAATGCCCCAGGGAGAGAATATTAAACTCTCAGGAAAGAGGGCAAGAGGAGACACTGAAGACAGTGAGCCTTGGAGGGTCCTAGACAAACCCGGGTAAAGAAGGGATTTGCCCAGAGGAACCAAATAAAAGAGCCCACTGGCTCAGAGCTGCTTCAGACAGTGGAGCTGAAGCCCAGCACAGATTCTGAAGTTTTTCTTTTGTTGTGTTATGTAGTAATCCCAAGCTAGGGAAATGTAGCAGGGGAAAGCCAGATTCCCTGCCCACCTGAGTTCTGATTAATCAAGCCAGAGAGTCAACACCTGAGACCGAGTGGCATCTGATCCCAGTCAAGTGTCAGTCTAACCTGCTTTTGAAAACTTTCAGGCATGGAGACTACAACCTTTCCAGGTAGCCTGATCCAATGCTTGGCCGTCCTTATGGTCAGAAAGTTCTTTCTCATTGCCAACCTAAATTTTCTCTTCTGCAGTTTAAGGCCATTGCTCCTGCCCCCTACAGCCACAAAGAAAAGTCTTTCTGCATCTTCTTCATAATTGCCCTTAAGTTGTTTGAAGGCTCTTATCAAATCCCCCCATCTTTTCTTCTTCACAATGAATAGTCCTAGTTCTTTCAGCCTTTCTTCGTAAGTCATTTTCCCAGTACTGTATTAATTTTAGTCAGTATTTTTTTTTGGTCATTCTTTACACATCTCCCTAGAAGTTTGTGGCCCAAAACTGGATAAAGTGCTCAAGATGAGGCCTTACTAGCAACAGACCAGCATCAGACAAGTTTCTGCCCCATTGGAAGCAGGGATCTAGCATATAGATTCAGAGTTTATTTCCTTCAAGGGCAGCTTCTGTTTTACTGAGCCATACCTCTTCTGCTTTCTTTTCTTTTCTTTGGCCA